CAAGAAACAGACCACTTACAAGGGAGCACCCATCAGAATTACAGCAGATTTCTCTGCACAAACCATCAAATCACGAAGAGCATGGGGGGAAATAATTCAAGCTTTGAAAGATAATAATCTCCAGCCAAGATTGAGATATCCTGCACAACTGTCCCTGGAAATTGATGGAAAAACAAGGTGCTTCCAGGATAAAGAGGAACTGGGGGAATTTGCAACCACCAATTCAACTCTACAGAGAGTATTGCAGGATATTCTAAAAAAAGAAAAATACAAAGAATCCAGAAATAGTGGAGGCCACAACTAATGGAGCAGAGAACAAAGTGAAGAAGACAAACTGACAGCTACTGACAGAATAAGAGCTCAACAGAAATGAGGCAGAGAAGATTGGATGATAGGAACAGCTATTTTGGAGAAAATGACATCTTAATAGGTAATACTGATTTAGTATCATCTTGTTTTGAAGTCTCATCTAGCTTTTGTCCTTCTGTCTCCAATGGTCTAAATAGGTTGTATCTTACTGGATTTTATTATGTACAATAGTATAAGCAAAAACCTTTTAAAGACAAGGAGATTATACAGAAACCATTATTCATTTTCTGTTAGTCGATTCTAAATACTCTGTAATGCTGTCATTCTCTTAAATGGTTTTACATTGTTTTGATATACTTAATGCTACAGTATACGAAGTTGTACTCAAGGATTTCAAGGAAAGAGTCAATATGGTAACTACTTTTAGGTCAGGATTATCTGGTGGTGAAACACTATTCTGCTTAAATGGTTATGTTTTGATCTGTGCTGTTTCGTTGTTATGCCCTCTTTTATCTCAATCTCCACTCCATTATTTACTTTTTTAATACTTTTTAAAAATTCTTATCCTTTTAATTAAAGGAAAAAAAATAACAGGATATATTATAGTAACCCACTTTGACTTTCCATTACCTCAATTTAAAGCCCTGTATTACTCTCACCATCTGGTTTTTAACTGATGTTCCCCTATTCTGTTTTGCTGGATAGTATCAGGTTCGAAAATTTAGGCATCAGCTGTGAAGATAATGAGATTCATTATAACGCCCATTCTCGTTGACTTTTATCTACTTTTGAAGACCTACAATGTCTCCAATGGTTTGGTTTTGTCGGTTTTGTTCTTTACTGTTTTGTTCAATTGTATTATAACTAATGGTATAGGCAATTCTATTAGAGATAGCGGGAGGCATTATGGTAACCATTGTTGATCACCTTGTATTATGTTTTCACATTATCTATTATGTCCACCCTTGTGACTTGACCGATTCTGTTCTGTTATGTCACATTTGGTTTTACTCTCTTCCAAAATAGTAATAAGAACCATGAGAGCAATGAAACCCAAAATGTGCAATAGTCTTTGTACAAAAGAGAGGAAAAGAAAGTGCTCTAAACTATATAACTGCATGTATATTTAAGTGTATAAGATAGAATATGATATCACAGAGTTTTATTGGATCATTGAACAGAACTGTTTGCAGTATCATTGTTGGAATGTCCACTTTACAAGCTTTAATTTTATGACTTGAACAATTATTTCTAAGATGACAATATGTAATCCATTAACTAGTAATTTCCTACTGTTCATTTTTTTTCTGCAAATCTGTATAACTTGTACCCTTTCTCTGCTTTTTTTCTTTTCTCCTTAAATAAAATTAAAAAAAATAAAAAAAATAAAATAAAATGAAAAAAAAAGGAGCATTCCACAATGAGACAAGTACACCCACATTTATATTGCAGTACATCTGTACTGGCCAAATATGCAAATAACACAAATGGCCACCAAACAAGGAATGGATACAAGATATGTGGCTTTTGTTCATACAATGGAGTACTCTGCAGCCATAAAGAAGGATAGAGTCTTTGATAGGTAAATGGATGCAACTTGAGACCACTCGTAAGTGAAATAAATCAGATTCACATCTGAAAACATCTTATTGGCTCTCAAATGGGAGATGCTGAAAGTAAAAGAGGGCTAAAATGTGCAATTGATATTGTAAAATGTGAAGAAACTGTTCAAAAGGAAAGAGAAGCTGGGATGGGTGAAAGGAGGAAAAGAAGAAGGGAAAAGGAAAAAAAATTATTTCCCAAACAGTTAACACACTAGTATTCTCTTTTAGTTCACTGGAAAGCAAGATTTGTGCTATTTTGCTTGGACAGTATCTCTTGACTCTGTCTTGTACTCTGAGTAACTATTTTGAAGATACAATAGGTGATGCACTAACTAATGTTACTGTCTTATTACTTTGTTTTGAAATTTTATTTTAACCTTAAAATAAAACAATAGATTTGTGTAAAGCAATAAAAAGGGAGGAAAAAGAGATCAGGTCTCATTGCTGGTTGTGAATGCAGTTTGCACACAAGGACTCTCTTGAATCCTGATGGTATTATTGTTCTAGATTTGATGCCCAGTCTTCTTAAAGCAGCAGCATCTTTCTTGGGTGCAGCAGCAGTGACCTGAGCAAGGGAGGAAGAAATGAAATAACAGTCTTGGTTAGGTCCTGTGGACAGGGGCTGGAGGTTCTGCTCAGCGCTGACAGAGACAAGAGGCCGCCTGTGGTCCTGGGGAGACAGTGCTGAAGGACAGTGGCTCAGAAGCCTGGAGGGGAAGGTGATACCCACAAGGAAGAGGGAATGTCCAGATCTTGCACTCCTGCCTGTGGTGCAGGACACAGTATCCTGCACTGCTCTAGCCACAGCCAGTGGCACCAGTCTCTATGCTGATCCTCTAGTGAGGACCAAAGAGAGGGCTTTTCACAACTCTCAGGGAGGGGTGATCTCATTCAGAAAAACTCTCCTGCAGGTGGGAGAGGGCAGAGAGACACAGCCTCATGGGACTCTAACCCCAGACTGAGGATGATGAGTGTGGGGGCAGTGGGAAGACTGCGGAACCATCATACATCATCCTCCTATAGTCCCGCATTTACTTAAGAGGCATCAAGGACACAGGATAGGGGCAGGAAGGAGAGCATTAGGGAACAGCACACAGGCTCCTGACAGCCCTGGTGCTGCAGCCCAGGCCCCAGGTGGTTTTCATAAACACAGAGTGGGAGGGGAAGAGCTCCAGTCTGTAGGCCTCATCAGGACCATGGCTACTGAGCACCTTGGAGAGATGGCAATGAGGAGGATCCTTAAGCCTGACAGAAGTGTTACTCCAAAGTGGGTCCAGAAAGAACAGAAAAAGGCATCACTCAGAATGGAGGGGCAGGGCTGGGCAGTGAGGTGACCACAGCCCAGGGTCCTTTCATCAGGTCTGTGCTCTACCTGTGCGCTGCCACACTGCAGAGCCCATCCATGAGAGTTCTCCCATCTATACGGCCACATCACAGAGGATAAGGACATGACAGGGAATGTTGCTGTCCTCACTTTCTGTGTTGTCCTTGTCCACTGTGCTCACTGGAGTGTCCTTTAGGCAAACGTACAAAGACAGCATTTCCAGAGTTGCTATTTTCATACCTCATTTGACTTCCTGCAAAGGATTCAGGCTAAATAATTGTATTTGGGGATTTACTTATTGAAAATAATTGACTCTAGAACAAAGTATGTGGGAGTGGGGTCACAAGACTGTAATTCCAGCATGTGAGAGCCTGAGGTCTGAGGACCCACAGGCTTTACAGCTCAGTTGGAACTATAGGTGGGATCATGTTAAAACAAAACAAAAAAAAAGAAATGCGGGGGTGGGGGGCTGATTCAGTTGCCCCTGAGTAAAGTCTTTAAAATCTGCAGTTGACTTAATCTCAGAGCTGTGAAATTTACATTGTGCATTGTAACCTTCAATGAGTCTCTCACTCATGTTTAAACCACTCACTTTAGTGACCATCATCCAGGGCTTGTGACTCTGGAGCTACAAGGTCCATGGAGGTTACAGAGTCTGGGGTGACCCAGCCAATCCCCTCATTGCCCTGCATTTTGACACCTTTGACCCACGGATCCTTCCATGCTGGCCCTCGGGAGTCTCCCTTCCCTCCCACAGTGTCAGGAAATCCCTCCCAGGACAGTCCCACTGCCTCAGGGGCACCTGTCCCAGGGCTTCTTCATCTCATGGGTACTGAGAATAGCAGCCCTGCAGTCATGGGTCCCACGTTATTTCACTGAGATGCTCACTTCTATCTCAGGTCAGCACACAGGGGAGCTGCTCTGCAGACTGTAAACCAGCCATGGAGGAGGGGAAGGGAACACACAGATGGACTCTTAGTGCCTAAGTTGCTTAAGAGCCACGTGACCTGAAGAGCTCCCTGAAGCATCATCATCTGGATTGATGTTCCTTTGGGGTGCCATGCAGAATGCTCCTGCTGACATCTGCTTTACTGACTCAATGGGGCTCAGATGCAGATCCTGTGAGCCCAAGTCAACTGGGGTTCTGGGGCTGCAGACAAACCTGACTATAGACCAGAATGTGGCTCCACCTGCAGCCATGTGTGCCCAGTCCTGTTCCTACTAAGGGCTCGGTCACATCAATCTGAACTCGCCCTTTATGGCTCCAGTTCAGAGGAATGGGGAGATGGAGTCTGATCAGCAATGAGGCCACAAGTTGGGCCTGTGGGCCAGTGAATCAGGAGGCCATGCTGTTGCAAGGAAGAGGTGGTGGAACTGGGAAAGCCAGGAAGACAAAACAGCAAAGGCAAGAATTGTGTGATGTCAGGGAAAGTAGCCGGGCTCTCAGCCTTGAAATAGCCTCTTTGTGTCATAAGGAAGAACATCAGGGCAGCCTTCACTGTGGCAGGGACTGCGATACTAGGACAGCAGCCAAGAGAAGAGCAGAACTGGGACTGCAAACAGGACATGAAGAATGAAATGCCTGGCATGGGGCAGCCCTTTGTGACAGAGGAGCCACCACACAGGGTTCCCATGGCTATGGCAGAGCACATGCTGAGAGGAACCACAGGCATTGGGAACAGTGCTAGGGGACAGTGATCCAGTGTAAGTGCACCCAGCAGCCACACATGTCATTACCTCTGCACCATAAGTCTCAGAGGTGGGGAATCTACGCCCCATGTTCCCCAGCTGGAACCTAGGATCATTGTCTGCCTCAGAGCAGCAGCAGGCTCAGGGACACTGAGAGATGGACGCCCGTGTGTGGCATCTTCTGACTCTGGGGGAACAGCGTGCTCCATCTCAGGTGGGTTCCTCAATCCAACGGAGGCCTCCGAATTTGGCTCTGAAACACAAGGACAGGACCAGGACCCACTGTTATCCAGAGCTTTCCTGCCCCACATGCTGCCCCCCAAGAGGCTCAGCAAATAAAGAAAATGACCTTTGAAAGGGAACCCAAGGAGAGATGACATCTACAGAGACTAATGTTGGCTTTGCTGTTGAGGATTCCTACATGAGCAGTAATGATCAGATGTCAGGGAGGCAAAGCACATCAAACTGAAGATCAAGCAAGACATGGAAAAGGGGATCCACCCACACCTAACGAAAAGAAGGACCAGGATATCTTGGTGGGTGTGTGATGTGATTTGGTGAGGAAAAGGGCAGAAAAGCAAGAAAACTCAAAGTGCAGTGAGAACCTTGGGAGAGCAGAATGAGGTCGCCCCGTCACGTAAGGATGCACTGTGGGAATCAGGGAGCCACCTGGTATCCACACAGTGTGCAGGAAGGCTGTCAGTGACAGGGCTGGGCCCCGGATGTACAGGACAGGTGGAGCTCTGGACACACAGTGTCCCTGAAGACCTACTGAACTCACATGGCAGAGTCTCTGTCATCACATGGCAAACCACCAGAATGATTCAAGTGTTTCATTTTCTACTCAAAGCTTTGATCATGCTATTTGTAAGGAATCAGTTACTGCAGACATGATGGGAATTACAGATAACACAAGTATCAGTGTGAGTCAGTTATGTCACAGCAGCAGGACACAGGTGAGCTGCACTGGATGTAGCTTGCCTTTCATGTCCTGAGATGGAGAACCCGAGGTGTGAGTTATCTATGAAAATGCATCACTGGCCAGGGAGGCTCCGTGACACACAGGGCAGGGTCTGAGGCTCTCTGAACCCCAGGCATGAGGGCTCACATGATGCCACTAGAGAATCAAGCTCCAGTCTTGCCCTGAGAGAATATAGAGGGCCCTGTCACCTCCCACTGACAACACCCTGGCAAGGCCCACACAAGAGGGAGCCTCTGAGGTCTCCTACCTGGAGAGAGCAGCCACTGCTCTCCAGGATCAGTGTGGGCTGAAAATCTCCAGGGGCCAGAGGAAAGGCTCAGGGTGGCTTTGCCAACTCCATGACACAGCTGTGTCTGCACACAGTGGTTTTCAGGGATGCATGGGTCCCCATGCTCCTCAGACACAAGGTGGTGAAGTGGTCCACCGGGAAGCTCTTGGGGCCAGGCTGCCAGGAGGGGAGCTGGAACAAGAAGAAGCTTCAGGACAAACCATCCCACTTCTCCCTTGGCTGAGCACCCATTTCTGATGGCCCCACCTGTGGGGGACAACATAGAGTGACCCAGGTACAGAGGGAGACAACCTGGGTGTCAGGAGATGTCACCTGTGTACCTGTGGATGCTTTGAAGGCAGCTCCCAGACAGGACTGGCCTTAATGGACAGTCACACATCTGAGCATGAGGGATTTGCTGTGACAGATAAGGTCACATCCAACATGCCCACCTCACAACCACACTGCTCTCTCCTAGACAGTGTGCAGGGCCCAGGACATAGAGAGGGCGGCTCTCCCTGAACAGGAACAAAAGGACATGGAAAACAGGGCCTCATGGTGTGGGCCAGGGAAAAAGGAAGGCAGTGACTGTGGAACAGGATGCGGGCCATGGGCAATTTCCTGGGCTTGGGCCCTGGCGACCTCCTGCTGCCTCATGTGTCCACCTGAGCATCCATGCAGCACACTCCATAAGGAGTGAGAGCAGGTGAAATCAGGGAAGTAGAGATGCCTGTCCTTAGGCCAGTTCCTGTGAAATCTAGATTCATGGCTCTCTGGGGGCACACCGAGTGTGACCCTCCCATGGGGCTCTACGCGACAGCCCTGAAAATCACTCCTATTTCCACATGGATGAGAATCACTGTTCTTGGACAGAGGAGTAAAGAAAGGTGGCCAGAAGCATTAGGCCTGTGCTGCAATGATGGGGGCTGAGGCAGGCGGAGACTGCCGCACACTGCTCTGGGCCCCTCTGTACCCCTGTGCTGCAACCCCATTCCACTGAGCTCTTTTCCTGTTTTCTTACTATCTTCTTCAGGCATCTGTTCTGCCTCTGACTCCCATGTGGGTGCTCACTCTGTGTGCATTTGCAGTCTCTCTGCACAGCCCTCTTTCTCCATCTGCAGACACCACACCATCAAGGACTATAGCACACAGTCTCCAGCCAGGGGACAGTGCATACCATGTCTTCTGTGTGGACTACACAGAACTGTGTGGGGTAACAGACAGTGCCTACACACACAAGGTCACCGTGTGGGGGTGGTCATCACAGCGCACCAGGAGGGTGACTTGGCCAGGTTCACAGATCTTGGTCAGCTGAGCCTGAACACTCTTCCCTCCGGTCACCCAGCCACACTGCAGAGCCAGTGCCTCCCATCTCACCACAGCTCTTGCTTCCACAGTTCTGTCACTAAAGTAAACATGAGCAACACCATCCCAGGAATCCACACACCAGACACCTCGCAGTCCTTAATCTGATTCTTCTCACCTTACTTCTCAAACTTCTGTCCTGTAATCTACTGTCTGTATCATCCCAGAGCCATGTTCTAGTACATCAAGTCCCAAAACTACGTCTGGGTGTCACATCGTCCCACTGAAAGCACTTAGGGAGATTCCCTACTGGAATAGCACATAACCACACACCAGGCTTCCTGGCTATTTAAAAAGTGAGGAGGCAGAAATCCAAGAAAGCTGGGTGTGGTGGCACAGGTCTGTAATCTCACAACTAGGGAGGCTGAGACAAGAGGGCTGACATGATTTCCAGTGCAGCCTGGGATGGAAAGTGACATCAAGGCATAAGGAACACAATGACACCTTGTCTCAAAAAATAGCAAAACAATGCATTCCTGATCAATCCATGACCCTGCATCACAGCAAGTCAGCACACTAATCCAGGCTGGGAGGAGTCAGACCTGCCTGTCCTGCTGTGCCTCTGAACTGTCAGATTGCTGGTTGACTCTGCTGCTCATCAGGAGCCCCACTCCACCAGGAAGCAAGGCAAGAGGGGATCATGTGGCTTCCCACCCCTCTCCTTATGCTGGCTCCTCCACTGAGGCATCCCCATGTGTGCAGAGTGATGGAAATGCAGATCATAAAGGAAGCACTGCAAGAGCGCTTATCTGCTGGGCTCTCCCATCAGCTAGGCCCTTAGGAGAGGTCAGGGACTGACCAGGGCTAGCGGTCAACTCACCAGGGCTGAGCTGGAGGGTGATGCACTCAGCCATTTCACGCCACACAGCACGAACCTGGTGGCTCTGCCCTTCATCTTTAACAAGTCTCTCCTGGGACAACAGGCCCTTGATGTGGCACCAGACAAGGAGGATGATGTCTCTCCACTTGACTAACGTGTTGACTATGTGGGTCCTCATTTGGACCTGCAGCTCCACTGCTGATCTGAAATTCATAAGGCAGGAGGGAAGGCAACACTCACATGTGGAACTCAGCTCTGGGGATGGCCATGAAAGGTGACACAGCGCTTCCGAAGGGAGACAGGGAATGCACAGAGTACGAGAGGAGTGACAAAATGGGAATCCTGACTGTGCCAGGGTGATCTCTGAGTACATCCCAGGGAGCCCTTGCAATGGGACACTGCCACATGTTTGGCAATGACATCATAAGCCACGTGATGGGGAAATGTGCACAAGCAAGCATTTTCCTGCACCGCTCCGCACCTACCACTGATGGCTGCTGTAATGCATTTCTAGAGGACAGTTTTCTGTTGTGACAAACTGACCATGATATAAGGTGCCCTATGCAGAGCTGAGATCTGCTGCACTGGTTGTATTTCTACTGGGGACATGTGGCCCTGTGGGTGCGATTTTGTAAAGCTGTGATCATTGGCTATTCTGCTGAACTCAGTGTGGATCACTGAAGAGAATGATAATAGCAATAATGACACAACACAGGCAGCCAAGTAAGCACCATGCTTTGGGCACTTCCTGGGTGGCTGCCTGTGTGGGAGTATAGGGCAGGACTGGAGACTGAGGCAGTGCTGAATGAAAGAGACCATGGGCCTCCAGAGCTGACCTTTCAGTAGTGTGACTGCACACAAGCTTTTTTCTTGTTCAGTTTTGTTTCTAGCTATAGAACTGCAGTCAATCAAACAAGGTGAACCTGACAGAAAGAGGGGGAGGATCTCCCATCACCTCCACAACAGACAGGAGGGCTCCTCCAAGCACAGGGAAACTTCACTTTACTGCACATCAGGGCAGAGTGACGCTGGGGTAGCAAACATGAGAAATAATGCAGCTGGGAAGCACCAGGAGCAGCTGTAAGAACACAGCGTCATCCCCGGCTGGCTCAGGGAAGAGGGAGAAACACACAGCCCTTCCTGCCTGCCTGTACCTGTGAGCTCAGTGGTCAGCCCTGGGCTCACAGGCCACCACTTTCACACTCACCTGAGCACCTGGGTTGCCTCAATCTTCTGTGTTTCCGAGATGATGTCCGAGTCTGAAAACAACACACAAATGTCACAACACCAATGTACCAAACCCCAAGCCCTAACCCTACCCCATGTCAGGCCTGTCCCTGACCACTGAGGCATCAGAATGGTGGACAGAGACTCAGCTTGGACTTGGGCAGACCTGCTGGCCCGGACTTGATGAGCACACTGGCCGGGCACACCTGGGCATGCATGTGACCTTGCTGAATCTGTGTGCTCACCTCTGACATGGAGGCCCCAACCCTGCCCGAGAGGGCTCTGGAGGGTGTCATGGCTGAGACTGGAAACAGAGCTATGTGGCAGCAGGTTCAGCACCCACCGCAGGCCTGGGCATGTGGAGCTCACTCCCGCTTTGCCAAAGGTTGGGACCTGAGAACATCCTCTGCCCTCAGCAGACAGGGACAGGAACAAGATGCTCGAACTGTGAAGAGGTGCTGGCTCCCCCATGGGGCCATGGAACGTCATGTGTCATGGCAACTCTCACTCTACAGCAAGCAGATTCACAGGAGGACACCACAGCTCACATTTCCCAATAGTTTATGCAATGAGTAAATGCACACAAAATTTCACATTTCCCTCTGACCAAATGATTAAAACACCATGAGTGACAGGAACAGGGACCTGAGATTTATCTCCACATTGGTCAGCACAATGCTGGGCCACGGGGATCCTGCACAACAACACAGGGCTTTGAGGAGATGGCACACAGGGGCTCTGTTCTCTCCCTCTCAGGTAGGTCGGCCAGATAGGAAATAAAACTCAGAGATGAGGCATGTGATGCTAACTAAAGGCTGACAGGAAGGAAACCCTGATGCTGGGAAGAGGATAGAAACTTGGCGGTGGCAGGGAAGGGATGCTAGAAAGCTGTCCTGGAGGAAGGCAGCATAGAGGGCACAGCAACTGGTAGCTGGGAGCCCTGGCTCCACAAATTCACCTCCAAAGAACTGAAGAGTCTGCCAGGCATGTGGATGTGCAGAGAAGAGGAGAGGACTGTGCAGGGGAAGCCACACCCAGCCATTAGACCAGAGCACCCCAAAAACCCTTCATGAAGTGGTCTGACCCCATGAACACCAGCTTCAGGGATCCTCGAGGCTTTTCTGATCCCCTCTGCTCCATCTGGCCCAAGTGCTGATCTGAGGTCTGCACTGTGAGACCAGGCTCAGAGTCCTCCCTGGCACAAGAACTCAGCAAAGTTGCAGAGTCCCCAGACCTCTGCCCCACTTTCCAAGCAAAGGGGAGACCTGGCTGAGGTTTGGCTGCCTCTCTGAGCTGAGACCATGAAATCTGAGAACCCTGAACCTTGGAGCTGCACTTCTAGCTGGATGCTGGGGACTCACTGGTTTCATCAGGCAGAGATCTTGCTTGAGGCTCAATCGCAGGGACAGAGGAATTCAGCTGATCTTCTTCTGGTGATGGTGGAAACGGCTGCTGAGAATCCAGGAAGGACAGCTCCTCCATTGATGCTGACAGGTCATCTTCTTCACAAAGCTCAATGCTGAGACATGCGTGGGTGGGAATGGGGTGGAAAAGACAAGGTTAAGATGGAACACAACACACAGGTTCCAAGTCAGCCTCTAGCAAAGCTCTAGGGAGAATTCCAACTCCTCAGGCCTTTCACAAAGAGGAAGAGAACTGTGCTCTGACTTGGACACTGCCTGAGTACTATGGGAATGAGAGTGAGAGCCAGAGTGAAAGACAGACACAGAAGAGGACAGACAACAGAAGCACACAGGAAAGAGAGATCAGCCCTGCTCAGGGTGCTTTCCACATCACCAGCTGAGGAGGAGAGAGCATCTTCCCTCTGAGATGCAGCAGGACAGGGAGCTCGCAGTGAGAACCACAGCAGGACCGACCTAGTGCAGGAATAATGGGGAATTTCCCAGGTTCTGGGGAACCACAGGTTCTGCAGTGACTGCAGGAGAACTTGGGCCCTCTCAACCTGTTCTCATCAATACTGAGACCTGACATGGCTCTCTGCAGTTGCTCCATCTACTGTCCTGCCTGTGCCTCAGCTGTCCACAAACTCTGGCCCCCAGTTCAGAAAGACAATGTGCGTGGAACCCTTTCAGAGGATAAAGTTCTCTTTTATGGTGGTAAGTTCTTAGATGTCCTGAGCAGACACTCTTTCCAAAACCACCAGAAGAAACACAGCACCTTGCTAAAATGCCATGGTGTCTGTGGTTGGGTGAATGATGCCACAACCATCAGAAGGCACTTCTCAACTTTGAGAGTGAAGTGGGTGGCCACTGCTGACCCTGGGTCCTGACTGTAACACGTCCCCTCCCCCCACACTTGCTCTTGGTTCCTAACCATGGATTGATAACTGGAGACCAGGAGCTGAGTCTTCTCCTCTTCATCTCCATCAGCGAGGTGCTCTGCAAGCAAATTCAGAAAAGTCCAGAATGTCACTGCATGGGACTACTGCACTTATGGCTACCTTAGAATGTGCACACAGATGAGCGTACAGCATTGTCAGGTGAACACAGAAGCCCATACTGAATGACCTCTGTGTCAGCCCCACAGAAACAGTGACACACTGCTCCCAGGGACACAATGTCTTTATTTGGGGGTGATGATCCTGGCCCACTCTGAGTTGTACTGGGCCAAGTCCACTTGGATCTTGGGCCACAGAGCCCTGGATACTCCTCCCTCCTATCACGCACCTGGACTGCAGGGTCTGTGGATTCACATTACCCCATAGCTCCCATCCCATCTGCTTCCTTTCATCAAGGACAGGAGAAACAAGCCTGCCACAGGTGTCCACAACCAGGCCCCTCCCAGCACCCTCCACCTGCCTTCTATCACTAATGTATGAGAGTTCTCTCCCTGGTACCCAAGTCCCATGGCCCTTTCATCTCTAGGGTAACCCCGGGAGTGACAAGAGTCCTCTGAAAGGACACTCACAGAGATTCCTTACCCAATGCCACAACTGCAGTGAAACACTCACGGAGAGCCTCTGAGATGAGTAAAGAGAAATCAAGGCAGGAGCAGTCTGCAGCCCCCTCACCTGGGCTGAGCTGCAGGGCGAGGCTCCTGGCCAGCCTGTGCCACTCTGAGTACTTTTCCTGGTGGCTTTGTGCCTCATATCTCGTAGCTCCATCCTCAGTCAACAGTTCTCTAAGACTCTTTCTCATGTAGTACAGGATGGACCTCCATTTCGGGAATATCTCTATTGGCTTGAAACATGCGATATTTTCAGTGATCAACCTGAAGTGCACAAGGGAGAAGGAAATACATAATTAGAGCTCTCCTTTCAGGCACAGTCATAAATGACAACAGCATATTCCAAGGGCAGAGGGAAATCAGCTCAGGGTGAATGGGGTGCTGCTCAGTGATCAGGACATTGCTGGTGATTTTTGTGTGCACTCAAGGAGCCCTTCCAATGGAAAGTTGCCACATGTTTGAGACCCATATATAAATGACTTGGTGCAGTCCCAGGCAAAGCAAGTGCATTCCTGAGCACAGCTGCACGTAGAACTCGTATCCAACAAAAGTGTTTTCTGAGGTACAAAGTTTTCTGCCAATGAAAACCTGCCAGTAAGCTAAGTCCCCATGTGCAGAGCACAGTTCCACATTCCTGCAGGGATAAAGTGGCTACATGTGCATGAATATCAAAACCCATTGGCATTATAACTCCTCTGCAGACTATGTAGATATTTCAGAAATTAGTAAAAGCCATATCCCACAAAGGAAAGAACACACATGTGGCAGAATACTTTCAACATATACTTTGTGTCTGCTTGCTGGGAGAAGGAAGTGTGTCAGAGATCTGACTTTAAAGTCTAAACTCCAGGTCTCTATGTCACCATGGTTCCATCACAGGTCCTCCATTCTCACAGTTACCTGGTGCTCTTGGGTTCTAGGGAATCCTCATCTGCCAGGTGATTCTCATTTTCTGAAAATAAAATCAGATAAGCATGGACAGTTACACCATTCCTGCCTCACCCCTTCAAGCCCACAACTGCCAATGCCCGAGAAAAACAGAATAATCTGAGACAATGCTGAGCACTTTTGTGAGAAGTCAAGGGGCATGCTTTTCTGAGCTTGTGGACAGACAGATGGACTCATCCCTGACAGGTCAGCATCACAGGGTGTCAGTCTCCACACTGGGACACAGCTCAGCGAGCATCTTCCCACAGACATCCCAGGAACTGGCCTCACTGCCTCTGCTGATCTCAGAAACACCAGAGTGCAACTCTTTGATTTCAGTGGACTTAAGAGACCCAGGGATGAGACTGATGTGAAATAACAAATTCCTCAAGGAAGAGAATCCCTGGTATTCCCAAGGACAGGGTCTTTTAGGTGACAGAAGATGCTGTGGGTGTCAGGTCTTAGCTTTAGGGTATGTGGTTACTGTGCATACTGTTCATTGATTCTATGTAGACAACTCAACAGAGCCTCAAAAGATCTGGGGGTCACTGAGAGAAGACAGTGCTGGCCTCCAAGGAGGGGAGGCTGCTGAGGCTAAGATGCATCTCCATGATACTGGCAGGCACGGTCATGAATGTTTATGTCCTGGCAGGGAACTGACATCATCATGGGAGAGAAAACTAGAAGAGATGGAGATGCTGCCTAGCGGCAGAGGAACCAAAACAACATCTCCAGTGAGTGAATCACCTACAGCAAAATTTGCACAGCAACTAAAGGCCAAAGCACAGCTCTCAGGAGCAGCATTTGGCAAGAATTGTGCAATGGAGAGCAGCTGTTCCAGTTTGAAAAAGCAAAATTGTACAGATGAACAGATGCCTGCCAGGAGTAGGTTACAGTGATGGCTGTGAGCTGTTACAGTCTCCTCAACCTGTCCCCTCTGGATGTCCTGTGTCTGTCACCCTGAGTTTGCACTGGATGCACAGAAATGGAGGGTGGATGCCTGCGGTTCTCTTAGTAATGCAGGACTCACCCAGGGCCTGTGGAGAAGGGGCCTCAGCCTCATCCACCTGGGCTGCAGTGGCACAGGGAGGCTCCTGGGTGTCACCAGCCTCACAGTCACCAGGGAATGTCTTGTGCTCCTCACCCTGGGAGGCCTGGAGTTCCTCTGCCTGCTCCTCATCTCGCTGGCTGTCTGTGCTCTCACTGCTGGGATGAAGAACAGGGTTAAACCCAGCAAGATGGGACACAGGATTCTAAGGTTACTGAGAGAGGTGTAAGGAGTGGTCACAGAGTCATAGGACACAGAATTCAAAGATGATTTTTTTCTCACAGGAGGGCAGAGTGCAGCTGCCTAGATGGCAGGGACAGGAGATGCACAGCACAGGCCGGATGACAACCTGATGATGACGGAGCTTCCGCCCCACTTGACAGGACAGCTCCCAGCACACCCAGAGACCCCAGCAGGGCTCTGCTCTCTCTCTCTCAACTTGGTGGCCTTTGTATATTGCCCAGTCACTGCCATACAGATAGCAGAGCCTAAGACCTCGTACAGTGCAGCATCTTTCCATGGATGGATGGACTGACTCACAGTTTTTTTCTTAGATCTCTTGGTGTGAAATCCATGCTAATGACATAAGACCACCCCTATAGAAGCAGATCCAATCTCAGCCACAATTTCCCCACACAACAGAGGCTGATGAGGTCCACTGGGTACAAATGAGACCCACGGGGACATCACACACTGACAGAAAGGTGCTCCTCTTGGCTTGAGAAAATGGACTCAGAGCACCAGATCACTTTGCCTTTCTGTGTGTGCAGGTTGGGCACTGTGAACCTGCTGATTTGTCCTTTGGGGACCAGCCTCTTACTGGGGCTTACGTGTTGTCCCATGTCAGCCCCGGTCCTGACTACCTAGGTACCTGTGGGCCACAGATGAGTCCTCTTTAACATCCTCCTCCTTTTCTGGAATATCTGCAAGTAAATTAACAAACAGCCAGTCAGGCAGGGAGGAGCTCCCTGTCCCCATCACAGACACCAGGGCCTCTGTGCCACAGAAATGGAAATATCTATGTGAGATTAGGGGTGGGTACGAGGTCTCCTCATCTCCTGATGAAGCACATGAGCTCTCAATTTCTTAAAGATTGTGTACTTGCTGATATTTCTGGGGGCCCAGAGGTAATTAACAGTGCTGTGCACACAGGGCACAGGTGGTGGGGTCAGACAGATGCTGCTAGGAATGTGACAACCTTGGGCTCAGGCTCAGCAGGACCAGAGAGGGCACCCCAGGACTGTGTCCTGCTTCCTCTCCTTCCACACCTGCCACCATCAGCAGGGCTCTCAGGTCAGAGCAGAGGAGCAACACTGAAGAAGTACAGGCACAGAATTTCAGCACCACAGTGCTCAAGTGGCTGTGCGTAGTGACCCAAGCCTGTTATCCCAGGACTTGGGAAGCTGAGGAATGAGCAGTGTTGTGATGTCAACACCATCCTGAACTATTCAGTAAAACACTGCATCAAAAGAAACAAACGAGAGGAGGAGCTGGGCAGATCTGGGGTGCCCTCACCGGCCTCTCTGCGTGTCTGGAGGACTCTGGATATCTCCGCCCAGACTGCTGGAGTTCCCCCAGGCTTCCAGGTGCAGTAAAGGGGCGAGGTGGGTTTGAGGCTATCACATCAGCCTCCCCATTCCGGCTCCACTTGGAGACCTGCTGAGCTGCCGACGGATGGGCGGGCCCACACTATCAGCCTAGCCCAGCCTGTTTAGCTGCCGCGCCTGGACATAGGTCTGCAGAGGAGGAGCTGGGCAGATCTGGGGTGCCCTCACCGGCCTCTCTGCGTGTCTGGAGGACTCTGGATATCTCTGCAACCAGGGAGGGTCCACAGGTTCCTGAAGCACTACGGCCTGTGGTGAGTACCCTAACCCGGCTGCGATTGAAGAACTGTGGAGCTTCCAAGGGGCAGGTGGGCGCACAGTGTCCCTGAGGCCCAGCTTGTCTGGAACTGCGGAGTTCTGAGCAGGCAGAGGAGAGCCACTAGTTCTGTAGGCCCAAAGGCTTGGGGTAGCGTGGTGCCAGAGTCTCAGTACCTCCAAACATAGAAGGGGATTTTCAACAGATCCTGAGGAAGCTTTCAAATAACACTTGAAACACAGAAATATAGGAAAATGACAAAACGAAAGACTAAATTACAACCTCAAACCTCCAGCCCATCTCAAGAAACCCTAGGAGCGATGTATATAGAAGAAAATATATCCCATCCACCTCATATATCGGACACAATAGCCACTGAAATTGACAAGCAACTCCAGGAAGCTTTAAAGAAATTCAAACTCGAAATAATCTCCCAGATAAAAGAAGAAATGATAAAAGAAATGAAAGAGATTCTAAATATATCTAAAGAAAACACAGATAAAAAATTGGAGGAACTAAACAAAAAGATAGAATCCCTAGACGAGCAATATAAGAAACAAACAGAATACATAATGCAGATGCACAGAGATATACAGGAAATAAAAAACTCCACTGAAAGTTGTAAAAACCGCCTTAATGAAAGTGAAGATAGAATTTCAGACCTTGAAGACAGGATTGCAGCTAGTGAACAGGAAAGGAAAGATCTTTTGAAAATAACAAGGAATCAGGAAACAACAATTCAACAACTGCAGGACGATGCAAAGAAGAATAACATAAGAATGATAGGGATTAATGAAAGAGAGGGAGACAACATGAAGGATGTCAGGAGGATATTTAGAGAAGTAATAGCTGAAAATTTCCCAAGCATGAGATCAGAAACTGACATCAGAATCAGTGAAGCATATAGAACTCCAAACAGTCATAACCAAAATAAAACTACACCCAGACATATAATAATCACCATCCCAGAAATCCAACACAAGAATAGATTATTAAAAGCTGTCAGAGAGAAAAGACAGATCACTTATAAAGGAAAACCTATCAGAATCACAGCAGACTTCTCAGCACAAACAATAAAGTCAAGAAGAGCATGGAGTGAAGTATTCCAGATCCTAAAGCAAAACGATTTCCAACCGAGACTGATATATCCTGCAAAACTATCATTCAAAATAGATGGTGCAATACGATACTTCCATGACAAAGAACAGCTGAAGAACTTCATGAACACCAAACCAATCCTGCAAAAAATATTGAAAGACAGTTTAGATACACAAAGGAAAAAACCACTAAGCAAAGCAAATAATTAAACAGAACAGAAAGATAAAGATGCAACAGCAGAGAGATAACATTCCTACAATTAACCAGCATTTAACAGTAATAACCATTAATGTAAATGGTCTCAATGCACCAATTAAAAGAAACAGACTAGCAGAATGGATCAAGAAACAAAATCCAACCATATGCTGTTTACAGGAAACCCATCTAACCCAGAAGGATACTCACAGACTGAAAGTCAAAGGATGGAAAACAATTCTCCATGCAGCAGGAATCCAAAAAAAGGCAGGAGTAGCCATTCTGTTTGCAGACAACGTGAACTTTAAACCAACAATGACCATAAAGGACAAAGAAGGTCACTACATACTCGTAAGGGGAAAACTCCAAGAGGAAGAGATAACTATCTTAAATATATATGCACCAAACTCCAGAGCACCCAGTTATATAAAACAATTATTAACAGAAATGAAAACTCAAATTATCAGTAACACAATTGTAACAGGAGACCTTAATACACCACTGACACCAAGGGACAGATCAACCAGACAGAAAATGAGCAAAGAAATAACAGAACTGAATCACACCTGTGAACAAATGGGTTTGATAGACATATACAGAATGTTCCACCCAACAACATCAGAATACACATTCTTCTCAGCAGTACATGGATCATTTTCTAAAATAGACCATATATTAGCTCACAGAACATATTTAAGCAAATGCAAAAAAGTTGAAATCATCCCTTGCATATTATCAGATCATAGCGCTCTGAAATTAGAAATTAATGACAAAAGATACTGCAAAAATTCCACAAACACATGGAAACTAAATAACACAATCTTGAGTAATCAGTGGGTCACAGAAGAAATTAAAGAAGAAATTAAACAATACCTAAAAGAAAATGAAAATGCAGATACAACTTACCGGAATCTGTGGGATGCAATGAAAGCCGTTCTGAGAGGAAAATTTATTGCACTGAGTTCCCACATCAGGAAAACAGAACGAATACAAATAAATAACTTGATGCTACACCTCAAACAGCTAGAAAAAGAAGAGCAAGTCAAGCCCAAAGCCAAAAGAAGAGAGGAAATTATAAAAATCAGAGCAGAAATCAATGCAATAGAGACTAAGAAAACAATCCAAAGAATCAACGAATCAAAGAGTTGGTTCTTTGAAAGAATAAATAAAATTGATAAGCCCCTAGCCAACCTTATTAAAAAAAGGGAAGAAAAAGCTCAAATTCATGCAATAAGAAATGAAAAAGGAGAAATCACTACAGACCCAATAGAAATACAGAGGATCATCAACACCTATTTCGAAAACCTCTACTCTCAAAAGTTTGATAACACAGAAGAAATAGACAGATTCTTAGAAGCATATTAAGTACCAAAGCTAGATCAAGAGGATATAAAACTGTTGAATAACCCAATCTCTGCTAATGAACTTGAAAATGTAATTAAGGCCTTACCCACCAAGAAAAGCCCAGGCCCAGATGGATTCACTGCAGAATTCTACAAGAAATATAAAGAAGACCTAATGCCGACACTCCTCAAACTATTCAATGAAATTGAAAGGGAAGCAATCCTTCCTAAGTCATTCCTGGAAGCAAACATTACTCTAGTACCAAAACCTGAGAAAGACCCAACTATAAAAGAGAACTATAGACCGATCTCCCTAATGAACACAGATGCAAAAATCCTCAATAAAATATTGGCAAATAGGATCCAGCAAATCATCAAGAAGATTATACACCATGACCAAGTGGGATTCATCCCAGGAATGCAAGGATGGTTCAACATACGCAAATCAATAAATGTAATCCACCATATCAATAAAGCCAAAAATAAGAATCACATGATCATTTCTATAGATGCAGAAAAAGCCTTCGATAAGGTCCAACACTTATTCATGATAAGAACTTTACAGAAAATTGGAATAAATGGTCTTTACCTCAATATAATAAAGGCCATATATGACAAACCAACAGCCAGCATCATACTAAATGGCCAAAAATTGAAAGCCTTTACTTTAAAATCGGGCACAAGACAAGGATGTCCTTTATCACCACTCCTATTTAATATAGTACTGGAAGTACTAGCCAGAGCAATTAGGCAAGAAAGAGAAATAAAAGGGGTAAAGATAGGAAAAGAAGAAGTTAAATTATCATTGTTTGCAGATGACATGATACTCTACATAGAAGACCCCCTAAACTCCATTGAAATACTCTTAGATACAATAAATAAATTCAGTAATGTGGCTGGATACAAAATCAATACTCAGAAATCAATAGCATTCCTATACACAAACAACAAAATTACAGAGAGGGAAATAAGAGAAACTGGACTATTCACATTAGCAAGCAAAAAAATGAAATATTTAGGAATTACTCTTACGAAAGAAGTGAAAGACTTATACAGTGAAAATTATAATACACTGAAAAAGGAAATTGAAGATGATCTCAGAAAATGGAAAGACATCCCTTGCTCATGGATAGGAAGAACAAACATTGTGAAAATGGCCATTCTCCCAAAACTGTTATACAGATTCAATGCAATCCCAATAGAAATTCCATCAACATACCTTATAGATCTAGAGAAATCACTCCTAAATTTCATCTGGAACCAGAAGAGACCCAGAATCGCAAAGGCAATTCTAAGCAGCAAAGACAAAGCAGGAGGCATCACAATCCCTGACTTGAAGTTATACTACAAAGCAACAGTAGTAAAATCAACATGGTATTGGAATCAAAACAGAGCCGAAGATCAGTGGAATAGATTAGAAGATACAACCACAACTACGAACACACTCAACCACCTTATCTTTGATAAAGGAGCCAAGCAGGTTCACTGGAAGAACGACAGTCTCTTTAATAAATGGTGCTGGAAAAACTGGCTCTCCATTTGCCGAAAACTAAAGCTAGACCCATGTCTATCACCATGTACTAAATTAAAATCTAAATGGGTCAAAGATCTGAATATTAAAACAGAAACACTAAATCTATTGGAAGACAAATTAGGTAGAAACCTTGGAGACATAGGAGTAGGTAAAGAATTCATGAACAGGACTCAAACTGCACGGGAAATACTTCCCAGAATCAATAACTGGGACCACTTCTTATTAAAAAGTTTCTGCATGTCAAAAGAAATCTGCAGCATAGTGAAAAGAAAACCCACAAACTGGGAAAAGATTTTAGTGAACTCTCTCTCAGACAAGGGCCTCTTGTCTAAAACATATAAAGAATTAAAGAAACTCAGACCTCCAAAATTCAAAGATCCAATCCAAAAATGGGCATCTGAGATGAATACCCAATTCTCACATGAAGAAATGCAAATGGCAAATAAATACATGAAAAAATGCTCATCATCATTGGTCATTAGAGAAATGCAAATTAAAACCACACTGAGATACCATCTCACTCCTGAAAGAATGGCCAGGATCAAGAAAACCGACAACAAATGCTGGAGAGGCTGTGGGGAAAAGGGAACTCTCCTGCACTGCTGGTGGGAGTGTAGACTGGTACAGCCTTTGTGGAGATCTGTCTGGAGATTTCTCAAAAAGTTGGGACTGGAAGTCCCATTTATTCCAGCTATTCCACTTCTAGGCATATTCCCAGAAGAACTGAAAGCATCACACCACAGTGATATATGTGCACCTATGTTTATAGCAGCACAATTTGTAATCGCCAGATCATGGAAACAACCCAAGTGTCCATCAACTGAGGAATGGATAAAAAAGTTGTGGTATTTCTATACAATGGAGTATTATTCAGCTATAAAGAAGGATCACATTGAGATATTTATCAATAAATGGGCGCAGCTTGAGACCATACTCATAAGTGAAATAAATCAATCTCGCATGTGTGAATACCGAATAGTTTCCCTAATGTAAGTAATGATTCAAATATATAAAAATATGTGGTAATCATGATTCCCCATTAGGTGGCCTTGGAGCCTTATAAAGTTTTCACTCATTAATTAGAAAGGCTTTATTCTGGGCTTCTTGATTTGAAAAATATTTGAAGCTAGAGTATATGAAGTTTTATCCAAATATTTCAAGGAAAAAGACACTATGGTACTACTATTAAGTCAGGTTATATGGTGGTGAAGTACTAGGTTGTTGAAACAGTCATGCTGTGACCTCTATTGTTATATTGTTATGTCCTGTTTTATCTCAATCTCCCCCTTATTGTTTTAAAAAAATTAGTCATTTCTTATGTTTGTCTTAATTAAAGAAAAAATTCAAATAATTAGGATATATAAATAATAACTCTTTTTGATTTCCTATTAACTTGTTTTGAAGTCCTGTAGTACTCCCACGATCTTGTTTTGACTGATTAGACTCTGTTCCATTCTATATGGTAGTATCAAGTTTGAAGACATAGGCAACTACTTTGAAGACAATAAGATTCACTAAGATACCCATTCTGGTTTGACTATTGTCTTCTTTGGAAGTCCTGTAATGTTTACAATGCCTAAGTTGTATTGGTCTTGTTCTCTACTGTTTTGTCCAACTTTATAATATCTAATGAGATAGACAATTCTTTTTAAGGAAACAAGGGACAACGTTGATAACCATAGTTGATAAACTTGTACTGTGTTCTACACCATGTGCTATGTCTATCCTTGGTATTGACTGACAGCTTTGTTTTGCCATATTTGACTGTATTCTCCCCCCCCCTCCCCAAAAGTAATAAGCACTAAGGAGTAATGAAATCCAAAGTGTGTGAATTTTGTTGTAAAAAAGAGAGGGGAAGAAAAAAAAAAGAGCTCTAACGGATATAACAGCAAGTGTGTTTAGGGGTGTTAAATAGCTGACTGTATCAATGTTTGTGGATCATTGAACACAGCTGTTTGCAGTCTACCTGTTTGAATGTCCACCTTGTATTCTTTGATGCTGTGATTTGAGGAACTATTTTCAAGATGATAATATGTAATATACTAACAGGTGATTTCTTACTGTTATGTTTTTTTTTGTTTGTTTGTTTGTTTGCTTTGTTTTTGTTTTGTTTTGTTTTGTTTTGTTTTGTAGTTCTGTATTACGTGTACCCTTACACCGCTTTGGTTTGTTTTGTGTTTTTCTCTTTTTCCTCTTAAAAAAAAAAAAAAAAAAAAGAAACAAACACAGATACACACACAGAGAAACAGAGAGAGAGAGAAATAGAGTAAGAGAGAGAGAGAGAGAGAAGAGAGAGAGAGACTGACAGACAGACAGAGACAGAACTTTGTCTGTGGCAATAATAGCTATAGCACACAAACCCTAGAATAGAAACACAAACCACCATGAACACTGGGTCAACCTATGCTCACATCACCCAACTCCTCACAACTGGCTTCTGAGGAACAATTTGAAGATGACTGACAGACAGAGGACAGTGTGTACAGGGAGAGTAGACAGGCAGGCATTTAGAGTTCTCAGCAGTGCAAGTCAAATTCCCGTGTGAAGAACATGCCTGCAGGTCTAACAGGAAGGGGAGAAAGACCACAAAGAAGCAAGTGATACAAACTGAAGACCACAATGGAAGTGGAGAAGGCCTTTGCCTGCATCAAAGTACATGAGATATGACCTGGACAACATTTGTCACCTCAAGAAACATCCACGGAAATCTCCAAATACCACATGCAAAGAAAAAAGGGAACAACACTGTTTAAATAAAAACACTGAGTTGGGGGGGGGGAGGTAAAACTCCAAGGTAGAGTATTTTCTAACACCAGAAGAACACAAGTATCTACTTTTAAAAAGCACAATATAGCACCAATAAAAACTTCCTGGGAACTGAAAAATTACATTAAAAATTCAGGCTACATGGATAATACACAATGCCTGTCAGATACACAGGCATGTTAGGAATGAACACAAGGGGTTTGAAGTAAAAGCCTACCATCACTCACACTGACAAGGAAACACATTTAAGTTCTAATGCACGAACTTAGCAAAACATGTATAAGTAAAAACACAATGACCAGCTACATCAATGCACATAATCCCCACATGTGAATCAGGTTCTTCAGGAATCCATTTACCAATTCCCAGCAATGACAATTTAAAAGCAGAAGAAGATGTTTAAAAGGACAAGTAGATTCTCCAGTTTATTTGGAGTCAAAAGACCCTGAGGAACAAAGCAAACACCAGTAGAGATGAAAGCGAAAGCTGTAAAAGAGTAGTGGTCAGGAGGACAGGAACAGGTCGGCTCCTGAGAATGGAGCCCAGAATCAGACCTCACAGACAGAGCTCAAGAAGGGGCCAGGGCCACTCCTGGAGAAAGCACAGTCTCTCATGAGAGGTGCTGGGACAGGTGGACAGGCAAAGCCCTTACAGGTTTGGCAACATTAAATGAGAATGGATTATAAATGTGGAGTGAAAACAAAAACTTTTCCCAAGAGAAAATCCAACACAGAAGCAAATCCATGTGAACAGTGTTGGGGCATCTGTCATCCAGAACAAAGAGCAGAGCCCACAAGAGAAAGAACAAGTGAGCTACACTGTGAGAACCTCTGCTCTCCTGAGATCACTCAAATGGGAGGCACACACTGGAAGGAAACCTTTGCAAACCATGGCAGGGATGATACACAGAGACTTGGTTGCTGTGATCTCGTGGAGAGGATAGATGGATTTGGGTAGGGACATGGTAGACTTCAGGCCAGGGAACTATCGTGTCTGACACTGGAACAGGACCTGTGTCAACAGACATCTTCCCAAAACCACAGGATGCACGCCACTGAAAGGGAACCTAATGGACACTATGGTCTTCAGTTACCAGTAACCATCACTGTGGCTCCTCTCTCACACTGAAGGAAATGCAGCAGCCTCTCCTGTGTCATGAGGGGAGAACTGATTCTGAGTGAGGTGCTGAAGTTTCTCAGGAGTACAGGATGGAGGGCCTACGCCAAACGAATGGGGGAGGATCCTTATCCTTCCTAATTGCATCCGTGCCTGTTCTCTTCCTGCACAGGACAGTGAGCAAGACCATATCATCTACTTTTCTGCACACCAGGAGACAGGAATTCAGGAAGGATGGAGTAGTCCGTCATACACAATTGGTACAGACAGCCATCAGGGTGGGGTATGGGAACCTTTTATACTTAGAGCAGTATGATTTTAATTCTAACCAGCTGACTCCTAACACATCCTCTTTTCAGCTTTAAAACTAGAAGGATGCAGCCTCTTCAAGTCACAGTCAGGTTTCCTCAGGGACAAAGGACCCTGGGATGCTGTGAGGCCCATGGTGGGGATGAATCCCCTGCATTCCCCTGCAGTAGTCCTAATCCTGCCACAGCTCTACATGGGACACAAGCACCAGAAGAGCTTGTCAAACACATTGCTTTGTGAGTGTAGTGTCCTGTGAGCTGGGAACTTTAAAGCCACTCAGTGTAATCAGGGCCTGAGGCCTCCTCACCTGGGTTGAGGTTGTGGCCCAGCTGCTCAGCCAGCCTGCAGCCCTTGGGCTGACCCTGGTGGTGGCAACAGCCTTGGCTGGTCTCAGGGTGATCTCTTCTGAGGAGGACCTCCAGACGCTCCTTAAGGAGCAGGGACACGTTTTTTCTTTCATTCAGCTTTTGAGCTAATTCCAAGAGATCTTGTTTTTGCTTCTGAATGAGGAGCATAGACAATCTAGGGTGGAGGGAAGCAGCGATGTGAGCCTTCAGAGTGGCAGGAGGCATTCAAAGGGCCCAGATAGAGGTTTTATCAGAAGACCTTGGGGGTCCCACAAGCAGAACTCAGGCCCCTATTTGGACAGACCCTGCATGAGAGGAAGGAAGGACAGCTCATTACAGGTGTCTCTTGTATCACTGAGTGCCCCTGTAGGATGCCTGAGCATCACCCTCACCCTCATGTCTTCTGTAATCCAAATGGGCATTTCCCTTCCTCTCCACAGAGACACAGCACCCTGTGCGGAGTGGGGGCGTATACCCAGCCCAGACACATATCCACATACAGCTCGGGTCCCTGGAGAAAATGCAATCAGAGCTCCAAGGCTCAGGAAGACTTGCTTCTTCTAAATGAAGGCAGAAAGTGCCATCACCATGCAGGAGGTGACTGGGAGGAAGAGGGACAAGAGGGGACAGCAACACTCCAAAGCTTGCCACCTCAATAATGCACATACACACTCACTGCCTTTGTGTATTTCTGTATTGTGTGATACTGACCTCAGTGCATTTCTAAAAGGAGAGGCTTCAGAGCACCCTGAGTGCAGGAGCTGACACCTCTTTCTCCCCTGAACATTTTCGGTAACAGGGATCTGGGCCTTGAGGTTCCTGCCCTCCCTGGCCCATGCCAGCTCATGGTTCTCACAGCCCAGCTGCCCCCTGCAGAGACTCACATGCCCTCCCCACATCTCCTTACCTCAGCTGCTCAGTCAGAGGCAACTTGGCAGCCGTGTTCTGCTCCTCTGTGTGAAGCCTCTCCCGGAGCACAGAATCATCATCATGTTTTCTCTCAATGCCTGAGAAGAGACACATGCACCTGCCTCAATGGGCAGCTGGACATGCACTGTGGGCATCGCCTGCAGAGGAGCCCACACCCACAACAAGGACAAGGACAGCTCAGCACCGGGCTATGGGCTTTTGCTTCCACATTTTGATTTTCTAGTTCCTTACACAGGTAATATGGAATAACTCCCATTTTACAGGTGAGGGGAGAGAAGCAAGCAGGCAAGGAAAAAAGACAAATGACTCAGGCGGAGGGATGTACAGTGAGAACTCACATCCCCACACTCTCAGTGAGCATCTGAGACCAAGGCAATGGCCAAGCCTGCAGGTCCCACTGCACACCCTTAGCTGCGCAGGAAGCAACACCAGCTTTGTTCTTGGATGAGAGCTCCAAGGGCCCTGGGCTGGGATTGCTGGGAGAAACAAGCTTCTCAAGATGAAAATCTCAGCCAGCCATGTGCATACAATGGAAGGCAGAACAGCACAAGGAGCTGACATTTACTGTAATGCAGGGGTTTAGGTAGACTAGAAAACCTCAGCTTCAGTGTGGGCCGGTACCAGGCCATGCTGCAAGGGTGTCACTGCAAGGAACTCATGAGCTCACTGTAACCCTGTGCAGGAGGGACTGGTACAGATCACAGCATGGGAGGCATCTGAGGGCCCAGAGCACCAGACCCCTGTGCTGCACTCCGGAACAGCACAGCACCCAGCTCCACACAGTTCCTCCACAGGGCCCGGGGTGGCTTTCTCCTTTCTCACCTTAGTATCCTCCAAAACACAATTAACTCTTATTGTAAAGATGACATTCATGAAGTACACAGTTGGCCTCCACCTGAACCTAAGCTGGTGACTTTCTTTACATGGTTCACTTTTGATTATTATCTGAGACCCTTTCAACTAGAAAAAAAAAATACTCTACCATTGAATACTTGGAGAGATCACTGTGATTCAATATGGCAACTTCAGGGTCAGAGAGGGTGACATTCCCTCAGGTGACAGTACTGGAGCACAGTTCCCTGATACCCCAGTTACCTCAGCTTCTGCACAGGACAATGGCCCATTGCTCTGGACTGACTGCAGGAGGTGGCACCCTCACTGTGACCTTGGTGTGGACACCAGCTGGCACTCTCCTCTTCATGCCTTCTCTCACTGCAGTCTCACAGCTCAGAGCTCAAACCCTTGAGGTCGACTTGGACCTGCTGCCCAGTTCCCTTCCCAAGAGCTGTGGGCTCCTGGGGAGACAGATGGTTGCTACAGTCTGTTACCACAGATGCGCCCTTCCACTGAAAGCTCTCCTGGGCTCATAAGAGCCTGTGCCCCACCAAGCACGTTGTCCTCCTTGCCACAGAACTCTCCAGTCTCCATGGTGGCAATGATGGCTGCCACAACTTCAGTTAGAAGCAAAATCTATCTAAGTTCCTCTGAAACCTGTCGTTAGCACTGTTCCCTGCTTTTCCAGGTAAAACCAAAAACTGGGAATCCACAGAAGCTTCAGTGCAAGGTGGGGCCACTAGTCCCAGAACTGTAGGTCACTAGGGAGGCTATGTGTCTTGAGGATCTGACAGGGGACATGGAGGGCCCTCATCGAAATGGCCTAAGCTGTGCTGAGAAAAGCACATCATTCCATGCCCTCAATAGGATCTGGCAACTGGGTTGTTACACTGGTCCGACTCTAGTCCTCACTATAAACTGGGAGAAGCTGGTTCATGCTTGAGTCTCAGTATTCAGATAGGACACAAAATCCCACACTTTGTTTCTAGCAATGTGGGAAGGTAAATTTATTTTCATAAAGCAAAGAAAAAACCACTTTTTTAGACCATTTCAATTGTGCAGGAAAACAGAATCATTTATCATTTTGGTCAATGTGAACCTATAGAACTCACCATGTTTCTGCCCCTCGTTGGTCATGGAGCTGTGAGCTGCTCTGGGTCTCACAAAACCTGACTCACAGAGCTCAACCTGTGCCTCAGGATCTCCCATCCCAGAGCAAGTATCCTTTCTGAATGGGCCCACATTCACCTGAGCCCCGAGATCGGGGCTGAGCAGTACCACCATTGGCACCATGGAGAGTGTGGACTTCTGTACAAGGACTGTGGAGAAAACCAAACACAATGTGGGTTAAAATCCAAGACAAAGAAACAGCGTGGCGGTGCAGGCCTGTAATCCCCACACAGCCATCTGGGGCAGGAGGATCACTGAGAGTTCGAGGCCAGCCTGCGCCACATTTGGTATTCACAGAAAGCCTGAACTACATGCTGAGACCCTGATTGAAAAACTGAACTGAGAAGGAGAACAAAGTAAAGTGACACAAGGGAAACCAACCAGGTTGGCTCAGGCCAGTGGAAGGACAGGAGAACACCGAGTAACTCACTGTTGAGATAGAGTTGATCAACACACCCCACAAGATTTGTGACTTTTCTTGACAAAACAGGTCCTGAAGTGAAGTTCAGAACTGAACAAGTCCTGTCTGTGGCTCAGACAGACGCGAGGGAGCCAGTTGTGCCTGGCACACCAGGCAACAGTGGCAGTTACAGCAGAGAACTGGAAGGTGGGGGTCACGGAATGTCAGGAGCCCCCGCCTTCCAGCTGCTGATACACGAGGCCTCAGTCTCCTCAGAAAGAGGAGAGAACCTCCTGTTCACCCACCAGGCCCAAAGGCTGTGAGCCTTGGGCTGATCCCAACCACCTCTTTCCCCAAAACCCTACACCTGATTCTCAGTGTGCACTCTCTCTCCTGCATGTGTAACACTGTTGAAACACATCATTTCCACAGTGTACAGTTTCTTCTGCATGCTCTGCAAGTTACCTCTCCAGATCTCTATCTTTAAAGTAGTTTTAGGGATTTTGCCCAAATCCAAAGAGAAAAGCTACAGAAAGGAATGCAGACAAAACTATTAGAACATTATTCTCTGAATAATCCCTTATCATCATCATCATCAGTTTGCTTTTTTTTCTGAAACCAGGTTGCATTACACAGTTCAGGCTGTCCTTAAAATTTCTATGTAACTCAAACCAGTCTGAAACTCACAGAGGGCCCCCTGCCTCAGTCTCTGAAGTGCTAGGATTAGAATCACAAGTCAGCATTCCCAGTTCCAAAACCATGAAAATTTGTAGAACATAAAGCACCACAAAACACAAAGACATTACTAAATTAGAAGGGCTTTACTTTTGTGTTTACCTTAGTAATATAATCTGGCTACTACATATGCTTTGTGTTGGCTTCTTTCTAGTTGTGAAAGTTGTACACATTTCCTACAGGGAACTTTGATAACACAACCACTTGGCCTCCATAACCAGGTTGGGTTATGTTTGGTGGTTTTATTTTTTAATGCTGGGACACTGTAATTTCTGGATTTCTTTTTTAAAATTTTGTTTAAAGAAAGTCTAAACAAAACAAAATGGGTAGAAATAATACATACATTCAGAGAAAAAATAAACAGTAAGAAATCACTAGTTAATGTTTACATACTGTCCTTTTACATTTAAATAGTTGTTCAAGATACAAAAGTGGAACATATAAAGTGGGAATTCAAACAGTGAGACTGAAAACAGTTCTATTCAACCATCCAACAAAATTTAGTAACATGGTTGTCAATCCTATACACTTAAACATACATGCAGTTATCCATATATTCATTTATGTTGACATTAAACAAACTAAAGCAGGCTAAAGTCATTCTGAACAAAGAATAATAGTATTGCTGGATTTCACATCATGACACTCTGGGATCAGCACTGGGTACTGTAGTGTCTTTTTAAAAATTTTTTTATTTAAAGAAAGACTAAACAAAACACAAAATGGGTAGAAATAATACATACTTTTAAAGAAAAAACAAACAGTAAGAAATCACTAGTTGATGATTACAGATTGTCCTCTTACAAATAATTATTCAAGATACTAAAGTGGAGCATCTAAAGTGGGAATTCAAACAGTGAGACTGCATGCAGTTCTGTTCAACTATCCAAGAAAAACTTAGAAATATGGTTATCAATCCTATACACTTAAACATACATGCAGTTATCCATATCTACAATTAAGTTGAGATTGAATAAACCCAAGCAGGCTAATATCACTCTGAACAAAGAATAATACTACTGCTGGGTTTCACATTATGACACTTCAGCATCAGCACTGGGTTCTTTAGTGTCCCTTTTTCTTCAGAGTATCTGTTTATTTCATCATGTAGCATAAGGTCAGTTCTCATAAACTGTTCATAGATTCTACACATACAAGAGTCTCTAAATGTATTTCTATCCTTTCTGTATTAGAAGGAGAAACGAAAGAAAGCAAGACAAAATAAAACATTCCTATAATCACATGAAACAAAAAAGACATATAAGACCATGTACAAGGAGTTCTATCATAGTTCCTGTGTTGTCTCTTGTTATCTGCAATAGAATTGGCTATATCAGCAGATATAGTATAATTCAATATATCAGTATGTAACAGTATTAATAAAAACACAACTGTGTATATATTATAAAACTTCAAAAACAGGCAGTTATCAAGCCAGAATGTGTATCATAGAGTCTTTTCATTTTCAGTGTAGGTGCCTATATTCTCACACTTGGTACTATCAATCATATCAGTTTTGAATAAAATCTATTGATACCAAACAGCAATCAAACAAACCAGATTTAACTAAGATCAGTCATGATAAAACAGTATAAGTCATACAGGGTTCTACATTAAGATAATAGGAGATTTAAAATGATTACTGTGCTATATACTGATGTTTTGGGGATAGCTGTCTGTGCCCTCAAATCTACTGCAAGTAGACAAACTGGGACAGAATAAAATCTATCAAAACGAAACAAAACTAAACTAGAAAAATGAATCAAATCTATCTAAGCAGAGTGGTGCGAGTAATGTGGGTTTTAAATACTGATACACTATTAACAATATCTTCTGCCATCTTTTTAAGACTCTCCCTCCCCTTTCACTTCCCCAGGGTACACTGTGCATTTTGGGTCTGACCAAGACCCTTGGTTTTAAATTGGCAGGGGGCAACCTGCTTACCTACCTAAGTGGTTCTGAACCTTCTCTCTCCTGGACTTGATCTCTAATTGTATTCCTTTACCTATTAAATCTTTTCTTTCCAACCTATCCACAAATACTGGTCTAGTTGCCCCTATTACTCTCTGGTTCTCTGTCACATAGAGCATTGTTTGCTCATATTTGATTTTGAGTCCATGTATTCTTTTTCATGTTAATTATATTTCCTATAAATAGCATCTTGGTGGACCCTGCCTCCTGATCTTCTCCAGGTGTGGTTCTTTTTTTTTAATATAGTGTATCAAGGCCATCTATATTAGAGATTATAACCAACCTTCTCTGCCTCATTTCTGTTATGATCTTTTTTATTTACCATCACTTGTCTGCTTATCTTCTTCATTCTGTTTCTGCTCCATTCATTGAAGCCTGTCTGCCACTGTTCCTGGAAGCCTAGTACATTTCTCTCTCTCTAGAATGCCCTGAAGTATTCTCTGTAGAGTTGGACTGGTGGTTGCAAATTTCCCAAGTTCCTTTTTGTCTTGGAAGCATCTTGTTTCTCCATTAATTTCTTTTTTTTTTCAGAGATTGAAAATTTTTTAAAAATTTTATTTAAAGAAACAAAACAGTAAAAGGGTACAAGTAATACAGAATTTTAAAAAAATAAACAGTAAGAAATCACTAGTTAATACATTACATATTGTCATCTTAGAAATAGTTGTTCAAATTTCAAAATTAAGCATACAAAGTGGACATGCAAACAGCGAGACTGCAAACAGTTGTTTTCAATGACCCAACAAAAACTTAGTAATATGGTCATCTATCTTACGCACCTAAACACACTTGAAGTTATGCCCTTTAGAGCACTTTCTTTTCCTATCTTTTTTACAATAATAATTACACATTTGGGGTTTTATTACTCCCACAGTTCTTATTACTTTTATTTTTTGTGGAAGAGAATAAAACCAAATGTGACAAAACAAAGCAGCCAGTCAAAACAAAGGATGGACATAGTACACAATGTAAACACAGAATACAAGGTAATCAACAACGGTTAACATAATGCCTCTTACTACCTTTAAGAAGAATTGCCTATATCATCTGGTATAATAAAATTTAACAAAACAGTACAGAACAAAACCAATAAAATCAAAACATTGGAGACCTTACTGAATTTCAAAAGAAGATAGTAGTCAAACCAGAATGGCCATCGTAGTGAATCTTATTGCCTTCAAAGTAGTTGCCTATACGCTTAAAATTGATACTATCACACAGAACAGAATAGAGTAAAATCAGTCAAAACAAGATGGTGAGAGCAATAGAGGGCTTCAAATTGAGTTAATAGGAAATCAAAAAAGTTACTATAATATATCCCGCTAATTTTTTAAAAAAATTTTCCTTTAATTGAAAAAATAATAATAATAAAAAAAATAAATTTTTTAAAAAGGGGGAGATTGAGATAAAAGAGGAAATAACAACATAACAATACAGGTCAGAACAGAACAATTTAATCAACATAGCGTTTCACCACAAAATAACCCAACTTAATAGTAGCTACCAAAGTGTCTCTTTCCTTGAAATATTTGAGTATAACTTCATATACTATAGCATCAAACATATCAAGAAAGTGTGAAACCATTCAAGAGGATGAAAGTATTACAGGGCATTTGGAACCAGCTATCAGAAAATTAATGATGGTTTCTATATTATCTCTTTGCCTTTAAAAAAATTTTGTTTATATTATCACATATAATAAAATCCAATACGATACAACCTGATAAAAGCAATGGAGACAGAAGAATAACAGTTTGATGGGACTTCAAAACAAGATGATAATAAATCAGCACTAGCTATTATGATGCCTTGTTTTCTTCAAAACAGCTGTTCATATCATCACAGACAATAATATCAAACAGCCCAGAATAAAACCATTCCAGTTAATGAGTGAAAACTTTATAAGGCTTCAAAGCCATATAATGGGGAATCATTTCTCAGTCTAGCCTGAGACCACAACATAGCATTTAAATACACGTCATTAACAAAAGTGAATTGTCATTTTCATTGTCATCCTTAAAAAAAAAATCAGCTGCTCCATTT